TGAGTCGGTGAAACTCCGACGAAACAGTTTGTCACAGCCCCTCGTTTGTTGTCCTCTTCTCCCTCTCTGCCTACGGTTTACCGGGCAGTTCTATTTGACGATATATATATATATATACGGTTTACCGGGCAGTTCTAATTGACGATATATATATTTATATATATATATATGAGTCGGTGAAACTCCGACGAAACAGTTTGTCACAGCCCCTCGTTTGTTGTCCTCTTCTCTCTCTCTGCCTAGGGTTTACCGGGCAGTTGTGTTTGTGAATATTGGCTGTCATGGGGGGGCAAAAGGGGAGAGAAGGTTAACAACAGTCGTATTTTTCATCACCACTTCAGGACACGCTTCACCACTTCAGCCTGCCTAAACAGGTGGTTTTCAGGGTCTTCGGACCTTTCACCACTTCAGGACCATTCAGGTCTGAAAATCTTGAATGCTCCTGAAGTGGTGAAAGCTCCGAAAACCCTGAAAACCACATGTTTAGGCAGGCTGCATCCTCAAGTGGTGAAGGGTGGTTTTCATGGTCTTCAGACCTTTCACCACTTCAGGATCATTCAGGATTTTCAGACTGCCCAAAACTCTCACTTGACCATCTCAGGACACCCTTCACCACTTCAGGATACAGCCTGCCTAAACAGGTGGTTTTCAGGGTCTTCGAACCTTTCACCACTTCAGGACCATTCAGGATTTTCAGACTGACCAAAACTCACTTCAGAATTTTCATTCCTGAATTTTCAGCTACCCGATAACCACTTGTGCAAGGGGGGTATAAATTGGGTTTAAACTGTGAAGGGGCTAAAGGGGTTTAAAGGGGGATGCCTTAGTATGGTTTTGTTATTTTCTTTTTTATTTCCGATTCTATGAGGAATTTTGATGTGACCCTCAGCCAAAAGTCATTTGTATTGCAATTCTACACAACCTATTTTCTTTTTTCGGATTTTTTTATTTTGTTTTTTGCCGATGAGGCTGCCTGGAGCCGTGCCCGGGGGTCATGCCCGGTCGTGCACTCGGGCGTGTATCGCGGCGCAAGTTGGGTACCCGGGCGCCCGTAAAACAGCCTAGATCATGACCCTGTTGGCTGCTACATCCCTCTCCAGCCAGTTTGTACAAGTTGCGAGGGGAGAACCCCCATGCAGTTAAACCACCACCACTACGTTTCCCAGCTATTTTTCTCCGACGCAGCGTGCATGCGTCTGCAAGTCTGCGGGGGATGGCCTACCAGAGCAAAATGGCTGGCAATGCCAGCCGAAAGAAGGCGACCCGAGCCGGTTTGTTCTTTTCGGCACGCAGTGCCTTTCCAGACTCAACAAGGGAGAGGTCAAAACTACTGGCGGTTTAACAGAGCTTGTGAGCTCGTTGCCTACTTGTATTTTGTCCGCATGAAAGAAAAAAAAAAAAAGAAACAGCGGCATTCATCCGCCCGAGGGGTTGTAGAACCATGCGTTCCAACTGGAAATGAGAACAATACAGAGAAGATTAGCATGCCCCCTGTGCAAGGATGACACACATAAATCGAGAAATGGTTCAAATTAAACAACTTTACAAAAAAATAAAAATGAAGGATTTGAATCTTGAACTCATGATCTGTTTAACTTTATAGTATTTATATGTCTGAAAGTTCTGAAAGAGTTACATCTATCTACTGTGACTGGCTATCGGTCAGTCACCATAGTTTGTGCTTGGTTTCTTCAAGTTTGTTTTGCAACTGCTTTTGGCCAAGACTCAGCTCTGTTGCTGCTACTTAATGATGGAGTCCAATTGAAAACAGTGCCCTGGTTCTGACTTGCTATATGTTTCAGTCTACGGTAGCCACGGTCATGATGGGGTTTATTGCATCTTGGATCTTGACAGGAACAGCCAGTTCTTGCCGGCGGGGTTTGCGACACCATGGTCAACTCCAGCTTCTAGTCCAACGAGGCAGCGTCAGAGCACCACCCCTGTGCATTCGAGGAGTGCCAGCTCCCGATGGCCATTCTCAGGCGGCAACGATGAACCGCTCGCGAACGACAGCGGCGCTGCCAGTGCTGAGGTGTCACCATCGCCCCGGCGGAAGCTGTCGCAGTCGATGTCATCCATACCGATTACAGTGCCAAGAGGGGACGGCACGGCTAGCGGTACAAGTTTCGGCACTGCCCACGGTTACGGGTCGTCTCCTGTTCTAGAGAGAACCGGATCCTTCAGTCTGCAGACTCTGCACAGCTCATTGGACTTGCATTCGGTGCTCAATGCGACGGTAGGGAGCGTCGGAAGGCTTACCGGATGGTCGATGAGCCCCTTTTTTGAAGGGAGAAAGGAGGTGGCAACGACAAACAATAGTAGTAGTCCTTTTGGTCCCTACCCAGCCGCAGGGGAACTTCAGGAGGAAGGGGACTCCAGGTTGGCTCCATCTGCGGCGGGACAGCGGGAATGCAGCAACAATGGGCCCGAAGATGTTGTGAGGGAGGCGGACGACCGGAGTAATGATCGCTGTGATACCAGAGAGAGTTCGTGGGGTGCGGATGGGAGAAGTGGGATGGGGCAGGCGCAGCCGAGAAATCATGTGCGTGATCGGTTCAGCAAAGAGCGCTGGCCCAGCATGGGACAGGGGCATGAGGGGGATTGCAGAATTGCAAGAAGGTATGATTGTGATCCGCCGGCAGCATCGGAGGCGGCAAACAGGGGGCTCTTAGGCGCATGGAAACGGGTGAACGGAGTTGAGGACTTTGTTGGTGGCAAAGCGTCCCTGTTTACGGTTCTCAAAGATGCCGCGATTGGTGACACAGAGATAAAGGGGATTGGACACCTGCAAGCGTGGCTGGATGAAGGAGACATAGACTAGAACCTTCCATGGGCAACACGCATGGATGAATGGTTTGTCGCTTCTTCTCACTGTGAATCCATCCTTATGATGGAACTAATATTAGTGAGGGACAAAGAAAAAAGAACAAGGAAAAGAACAGGCTTGCTGCTGCCTGGCAATCGATCATGTTCACGAACATTCTTGATTTCCCCTTTTTTTACCGTTGGGATCATTGAAGCTGAGGCTAGGGGAAAAAAAATAAAGGGACTCCATGAAAGAAAAGAGAGAATGGAAGACGAAGGAAGAGAGATGGCAGTCGACCACATTCATTGGACCAGTATTGATTACCTGTGTTTTTAACTTTTTAAAAGTTTTTTTTCATTTTTATTACATTAAATTGTTGAAGCTGAGGCTATATGGATTGTCATCATTTCATTCCAAAGACTGCCTGTTTGTCGGATTCTTTTATTGTTCAATTCTTTTTCTGCGTTTGGTGTCCTTCATTCGTTTTTATCTTAGGCGAATTGAACAATTTAAATTTCATTTTTTTCTTCTCTTTCCATTTATCTGAAATTTCAAATTTTGAATCATGTGCAGTGACCTGCACAGCAGAGGAGAGGGATGGGGAAGCCTTGGTCCAAAGGCATTGCTGTGGTAGGGAGGTGATGCCGGGATGAAGTCAGTCTGCGAGGAACGACCGTGTATAGGGGTTTTCCCACTCTGATGCAGGGAGACCAATTGGGGGCAGTATTCCCTGGGGTTGCAGGGTAGACGCAAGATCCTATGCGTGCCTACTCTAGCAGGGAATTAGAGGCTCTCTCTCTCTCTCTCTCTCTCTCTCTCTCTCTCTCTCTCTCTCTCTCTCTCTCTCTCTCTCTCTCTCTCTCTCTCTTTGATACCCTCTCCCTTGTGTACTCCCTGTCCATGTGTACTCTCTCTTTCTCTCCCTTTTGGTACCCCCTCCCCTTCTGTACTCCCTCTCCTTGTGTACTACTCATAAACGCATTTGAATGTCACCAAGAGAACAGACAAAATACAAGTCACCCCTTTTACTCTGCCTCCTTTAAGGTACATGGTGTTGTGGGCAGCCAGCGCTCGACCATCATCAACGTGGCCAGCATTGTATGTGAGAGGCACAGTAAGAGGGGTGTTGTAAGAACAAATAAACAGGGAGGCCTCCGAATGATAATAATGGTGAATATAGTCAAGCAGACTTGGATATAATTGATCTAAGTTCATCTAACTTTGTTTCATATTGTTAATTGTCTCATTGTCGGGTAGGCCCAAGTGTTCTGCAGTGCTTGCATAGAGGTGAGGTTCCTATGATTTTGGATCTACTCGTGTAGGCACCGCTTCCATAAAGGTAATGTTTCTATTCTGCTTGCTGATTATGGAGGCAACACCGTTTCCTTGGTGGATTGATTTTTCTCGAGCATTGTGTACAATAGAGGTAATGTTGCTGCAATTTTGGACCTGCTCATCTGGGTGGAACAGGGGATGTTGTGGTGAACATTCACAACACACACACACACACACACACACACACACACACACACACACACACACAAATGCGGGGAACCTTGCATTTTCTATTATATTGCCTGTTTAATAGTGTTTATATATAATTTTTTTGTTATATAGATGGTTTGTGATGGCTTACAGATGGAATGAGAGAGAGAATTTGGGGTTTCTTGATAACACACATCCCAGTATTGCTAGCTCTCTGTCTTGGCAGATTTGAGCGGCTAGGATCGGGCTCATACTAGCAAGTTATTCTTCTTTGTGGTGGATCATTTGTTGCTTGTTCTTTATTCATACCTGGCCTAATTCTTTGCCCTGCTGTAGAGCATGGGTACATGGCCTAATTCTTTGCCCTGCTGTAGAGCATGGGTTCTCTCTTGATAAAGGTATGTCTGTGGGTGGCCACCAGCTTTTGTGGGCGGGAATATTTGTTTGGAGTCATGGGCATGGTATCTTCATGAGGAGGCTCAGAGAGGCTTCGCTGTGCATGTCACTTCCGTGGGCTGCTCTTTTGGAGCACATGGAAGATGGGGGGCTTCTATGGTGTTTTAAGCAGTAGTGCTCCTGGTGTTGCGTGGAGATTCTGAGGAGTTATTTTGTGCCTTTGTGGGACGACTCGCAGGGTTCTTCCAATTCTTTTGGACCATTGGAGGTTTTGGTCGGTGCTTTCTTCATCTGTGTTGTGGTGCACTTATTTTTTGTGATCCATGCAATGCAATTGTCAAGGATGTTGCATTTTGTCCTTCATCGGTGTATGCCCGAATTTTTGGGTTTGTGCCTGGTCTGTGATTTTGCGGAGCAGGCTGGAGTAGTACAGTTAGTGGGCACTTGGCGCTTCCCTCTACCTTATATATATTTTATATTATATATATATATATTCAGCCTCCTGATGAGTCGGTGAAACTCCGACGAAACAGTTTGTCACAGCCCCTTGTTTGTTGTCCTCTTCTCCCTCTCTGCCTACGGTTTACCGGGCAGTTCTATTTGACGATATATATATATATATCCGACGAAA